TCTGCTGCAGGTATTCCTGCATTCCTCTAAAACACTTCAGGTTTACATTGGGGCCATCCATTGACAGCTGAACAGCTCTCGCCAGCAACAAACTCTTCCAGGGCACCCAGAAGCTTCTCTTGAAGGTCTTTGGCAGTTGAATGTCCCATGAACACCGACGTATAAAACCTCGTGGTCACCCGCTCGGGCATTGTGCTCCAGTAGCGCACATGAATGTCCATTTGTTTCCTCTGCAGGTAGTCGTTCAAAGACCCGTGGAACAGAACGGTGTAACCGTCCGACTGCTCCAATTCGCGTTGCAGGCACGAGAGAAAAAACGGTCTCAGACCATGGTACACCACGTATGCAGATTTCCTCTCACTGCAGGAGAATGCCTTAGCGATTTCTCTGTCCGGGAACATTTTCTTGAACAGGTCCCCCGTATGTGCGGACGATTTGTAGGAGTAGTGCGCCGTGACCATTTTCAGGGTCCACAGTATCTCCCCGTCGACCACACTCTTATGAGCTTTGCACAGGCTGCTCACATCCGACGACGTTGAACTTGAAGGAGTTGGCTCGACGCGTTGCTTCTCAACAGCTGTGAAGTGGCTCCGCACAGTACTATGAGCTGTGGTTGCTGTCATGTTCTCCACATGCTTTGCGCTTTTCATGTGACTTTTGAGGGTAGACTCCCCCATTGACGACGCGTCGAATGTTTTTGCACATACCTTGCACTTAGCTCGATAAGATTTCGATGTGCCCGCAGAAATTCAATCTTTATAAGCAGCACCGGTTAACCACGCGTGCTGGAAGTTGCATTTTCCCGGCATATTGCAGCTGCAAAAGATGACTTGGACTATCCACAGACCATGTTTCCCACTACACCGGTAGGGTAGGCTTAGCTTTGGTCGTCGCTACCGCTGCAACCACGCCAGACTGTCGTACTGCGCAGTAGCTACAGGAGTGGATTAAATTAAATGCCTTGCTGGCTCTAGTACATAGTTGCCAGGCGTTCAAGCAGAATCCACTAAAAATGGCTAAACCAAAGCCTATTGACAAGATTCAAGAAAATTTAGGGACCTGAAAAAATTCAAGGGTTTTCAAGGCCTTGAAAATGCTATTATCAAATTTCAGGGTTTTCAAGGACCGCTACGAACACTGTGTTACAGCTTGGTGGCGCTAGTTACCGCCCAATCTAAAGGGTACAGCTATATCCATCCATCCACCTATTCACCTTTTCATGAACTCCTCCCTGGGCGCCACCATAGCCCTCTTTGGGCTGTGCAAATTGGCGCGTCCCCTCGAAAATGCACCGACAACGCTGCGCCCTTAGCCTTGTACTCCCGCACACAGCCCATCATGGCGCTGTTTTTTTTTCCTTCCTGTAAAAAGGTGTATAGAGTTACTGTATATGCTACCAGTAGCATACGGTAACTCTGTGTGGAAAAAAGCTGGATATGTGGCTTCTTGCATATCAGTTTCTGTCGTTTCTTCTTCAAGTCCTGGCGAATTCGAGATCTTTCCATTCTATGGTCACCGCATATATCGTACCTTGCCAAGCACTTCACTCGGTAAGTCTATTTAGTTCTTACTTTATCCATTAGGTCTCCTCCATGTTCACTTACAGTTCCCTCGTTTTTGGTAGAAGGTATTCGGGATTCGTAAATTACTGCATTCTGCAAATTCTAGACTAATACCTTCCCTCTGGCATTTTTAGTACCGATGCCAGAATTCTCCCACTGCCTGGTCTCCAGCCTGCTTCTTCCCTATTTTGGCAGTGAAGACACCCATCAGTACAGTATACTGTGTTTTTACCTTACTCATTGCCGATTCCACGTCCTCATAGAAGCTCTCAACTAGTGGGGCTTCATGGCTGGATGTAGGCACGTGAGCCTGTAACCACCTTCATCTTGTATCTCTTATCAAGTTTAATTACGATACCTACCACCATTTCATTAATGCTATAGTATTCATCTATATTTCTGTGGATAAGAAGCCTCACGCCAAGTTCTCTTCCGTCAGCCAAGCCACAATAGCTAAGGACGTGCCCATTCTGTAGCACTGTGTAGGCCTAATTTGTCCTCTTAACTCCATTGAGCCCTATTACATTCCATTTAATTCTTTCTAGCTCATCGAATAGTACAGCTAGAATTGCCCCACTATATAAGGTTTAGCATTAAACATTGTCAAGTTCAGGTTTCAATGGCGGCCTGTCCGGACCCAGAGATTCTTAGCACCCTCTGCTGCATTGCAGATCTCAGTCCCCAGCAGCTGCGAAGCAGCTGCTGGGGACTGAGGGCCGTGTGTTGACATATGCATGTGGGAGGTAGTGGCCAAAATTGCACCAGGGTGGCGGTAGTCACCAGTGAGGCCGCACCCCAGGCCTCTTGATGTAATTCTATCATCTCGCGGATAATTTTTCTAAAATCCGGTTGTGAACTGCGTGGCACCAGCACGGACATTTTGCACGCGAGGCTGATACTATAAACCACTATGAATGTACACAGCGATGACACGCGAGAGGGCTTGTCAAGCGGTATTTTTCGTATGTTGCAGGCATTTGTAGATAGCAGAAAAACACTAATAACTATACAGGTGTAAAGTTTAAAATTGTCTAATCGGATGTTTTACAAACCAATCTATAACTTTCTTATTAGAATTTTTACCCAGTTTTGTTTCTTCAAGGTTAGTTCATAAAATATGCCTAATTAAATAATTATTGAGAACACAAAAATAGTCCCGACTCCAGGCAACGGTCAGCAACATGCATTTGGTTGTGCCGCGATTTCGTGCGTCGGCATATTACAGGAAATGTGTTACGACACCATCCATATCCATCGCCACTATAGCGTGAAAAAAAAAACTCAATAAAAACACAAAGGACACAATGGGATTCGAACACGGGTCTCCTGCGTTGGCGTCAGCTCAGTATTCTACCACTGAGCCACGCTGGTGCTTGAAACTGTTGCAAACTGGCCTTGCGCAGGCATGATGTCAGAAAAGTAAGTGCGTTATTATGACTAACAAAGCATTTTCGAACCGCAAAAGAACAACCCAGCATTACACAATGTGAATTGCATGCACAACGAGCAGAGTGGGTCATCGAATGCTCCAACCCCCACCCCAATACAAAAGCTTTAGGCATAATTCATCTGCATCAGTTACAGCATACAAAATTGCACAGAATTCCTTCCAAGTACGTAGCTCCGAAGAATGACAAAGCATGGCATAGTGAATGCTTTCCTATACCCTACGTGAGCTTTGTTATTAAAGATAATGGTAGAGAAGAAAAAGCAGGGAGTTTATTAGAAACCTCTAAAAAATAAGGAGTAGCCCGTGTCTAATCATGCACAATCTCCTTACATCACGTCAATCAAATTATGATTCATAGCGAAGTGGGTACCTGCAAGCGTGCTTGTAGCAGCTACCCAAAGTAATTCCTTCAGAGGGACAGGGAGGCTTGAAACGTGTTTGCTCTTGAGGGGAGGGCAAAGGGGGGCAGGCAGAAATTTTCGGGGGGCAAAAGCAGAATTTGTTTTCCAAAAAAAAACATTTCACACTTTATTTATTTTATAAACACTTGGAATAAATACAGTGAAATACAGCGCCCCTTCAATTTCGTTATTACCATGCGAACTTCAGTTTATCGCTCTAAGGCTATGATACTGATTAGCTGTACGTTTTTGATAATGTATGCTATTGGCCTTCATTGGTGTGTGTGCACACAATGTGTCCTGTACATATGAAGCCGTCGAGCTATGAATAAATCAGTTGGAAGATAGCGCTGTGTGTTTGATGCATGGGTGTGTGCGTGTGTGAGTGATCGTGTCAAGTTTTCGCGCTCGAATTAACTTTTCTGAATGACAAATGCATCCTATAACTATGCCACCCTTGGCACATCTTATAATTCTTGCTTAACAGGGTTCCAATGCCGAAATGAAGATTTGCTGCATACACTTCACAAGCGCAGGATGATTTGTCTCACTCCAACAAAGCTTAGCGGCGTGTTTGTTCTCAGATTTGATCTTTGTAGTTGGCTGACAGAAAATGAGGATGTTCACTATGCATGGAATAAGATATGTGATGCCCTAGAGACCCATAGAGAACAAAGAGGAGGGTAAGTGTTGGCAGTTCTGACCCTCTTAATGGCATAACATAGCATCACATGTTCTTTTGTTGGCAGAATGTTAAAACACGAAGATGTAGTGCTCAGCATACCTCAGGGATATGTCAAAAGGATGCCTCTTCAGGGTGAAGCTCAGCAAAACAGAGGGTAAGTAGCATGCTTCAACAGCTCATTTAACAGGGCAATATTACACACATGCTTATATGACATCTGCAGTACAAATTACGCCACAGTACTTCACATATAAAACAGTGACAAACAAAAACATGTCAGAGCAAGGTGGTATTAAGGCTTCCAAAAACAACAAAATTGCATTAAGGCACCACGAGGTGTATCACAGATAACTGAGGTATATATTTACTGCAAAGGCTACGTCAAACGCAAGCAGATGATAAATATAGTGAATACGTTTTTAAGGTTATTCAAATCTCAACTGGTACCCGTAAATGATGTTATTTGGTTGTGTGCAGTTTGCATGTGTTATTCACCGACATATATGTCTTTTTTACAGAGTCAAGACAACATGTGCTAACAGTGTGCAGTTTGCATGTGTTATTCACCGACATATATGTCTTTTTTACAGAGTCAAGACAACATGTGCTAACAGACTGCTTGAAAAATACAACCAAATTAAAGAATGGTTATTTTGCAACTAGCATGCCACCACTTGTTGCTACTGCAAAAGATGAATGGTTTTGAAAAGCATATGAAACTTCCGACTCAAATGGAGCCTATTGAGAATGCCAAAATGTTTCATTGCCACAGTAAACCTACTTTCACGGTTGTACAAAGAAATACAAACATGAATGAAAGAAGCTCGAATAACTTGCAATTAATAAATATAATAAAATAAAAAGTAAGTTCTCAAAACTATTTATGAAGTGTCATAGCACCATTCGCCTGGCCTGGATTGCAGTTTATTGAATTTGCACATTCAAATTAACACCCTGAACAATGTCGCCAGGACTCCACATAACAATTTTAACAAAGGTAAAGCTAACACACACAGCAAGACTGACATAAAAAAGAGAACTTCAATGTCCCTAATGGTATTAAAGAGTTTTTTTTTTTTAAGGCAGCCAGAAGAAGCTTTGTTGTAGTGCATATGCTAATTCTGCATAAAAAAAAAAACAGGACAGAAGAAAAAGAGGCGATCGGCCTTGAACACAACACTAAGCAAAAGTATGCATATGAACTTGGATAAACGACCCACTTCTGTCACATTTTAAACTTGAGGGGTGGGGCGGTGCACTACAACAATTACTGGTGCCCAAATTTCACATTCCCAGTGAAACCTTCTTCAGCACTGCAAAGGCCTTCTCAACAAGCACAGCTGTGATGTTAATAGGGACTGGGCCATTCCTGTTCCACAGCGTGACCTCCATGACATCTTCAAACCTGAAAAATATTTTAACAAAAGTAAATCGGGAAATGAAGCAGTTCCGTGTATTGAAAGAATAAAATGGCAGATACTTACAAATACTTCATACACTAATGACACTTATTGCCTGATCTCGACAATCTCACAACAAGATACATTTGTCCTTGTTTGTGATGCTTTATAGAGATTCAGCAGTGCTATTATAACAACAGGAATGACAACACTAAACCTAAACTGGCTGTACCATGAATTCGAAAAGAAAGGCGGTTTCACCAAAATGGTAAAGCACCGATAGCAATGAATAGCGAAGTTTGGTATTAGACAATTACAGATGAACACCATTATGAAAAACGTGCTACAGACAACAATTCTTCTCTTTTATATCAGCTGTCTCTCATAAGCAGGGTACCCTATATGCATTTTCTTCTCAACCTGCATTTCACTGTAGGCACACGGGTGTCTTTTATACCCTTTGTCTCTCATACTAGTGTCTCTTATAAAAGAGCTCTACTGTATCCATAAAATAAGGTTGTTTTTCTTGATAAAGTAAACTAAAAAATTTATTGCTAACTAATAAAGCATGTTTCAAATAAGCACACAACATGTAGGACATGTGCTGCAGAGTGCATGGGCCTGCCTGTGGACCATGTGTACCTACCTGGCCTGTCAAGTCGCATTGCTTTTACAAAAAATTGCACATAGCCATACTATGTGATGGTGGTTTATCATGTCTTTTCTTCTGCGCGTTTATTATCCAGTAAGATCTCGATACGATTCTGCACACTGTGCTTTCCTTGTTATTCTGGGGTGAATTTCTTCGAAAATGCATTTTTCATGCCTTTCATACAATCACATTCTTGCCTGAAATTGGCCAATACGACCATGAAAGTAGATCCTGGCTGATATATAAAAAATCTTACATTTATTTTTTGGTATAATTGCTCAAACTGTGTTCTAACATGGGTTTAGCGGCTGGCTTCACCGATTTAAGACACGAAACTGGAGAGAGTTTTGGCAACCCGTGTTCAACAGCAAGCGGAGCACTTGAACATTTGGATGCATTTCATTGTTTTGTCACAAATTCCGAGCTGAGTGAGACACCTGCAACTTCTTTTGTTACGCTTCAGAAGAATTTGCTTCTAAACATTGAAAAGAGGAAACTACAGAGCAAATGGACCAGCTACAATAATGTTGCTTAGTAAAAGTGAGTTGCCCATGGAGAATGCATATATTCCTCTTTTTCTTTCAACCATTTTGGTAAGTATGAATATGGCATGATAATACTACAATTTATTATCAGATTCCTTTGAATAACACATTAATGAGATTCCCTTGTAGCTTGTCTCTAACTTCACACTGCTTGTAAAAAAAACTGCACTCAGCCTTGCTGTATAACGGTGGTTTACCATATCTTTCCTTCTGTGTGTTTTATTATAGTAGCTTGTCACCAACTTAATATAGAGAGAAAAGCCGAATACTTTGCAGAAATCAGGTGAAACAGTGTTCAAAGAAGTTGCTCGTTCAAAGAAGTTATATGCATAGTTTATACTTGGTAATTTTTCCTTTCAGGTAAAGAAAATGATTTTGGACAATTGCTTATTGACTGTGCTTAAAAACTTTGAAAAGAGCTAGAAAGGCTGCCTAAGGAAAAAAAGGCATCAGAACCTGTGACAATGCGCTTGTCAGAATGAACACGTAGCCACCAAACTACCCTAACTTACAAAGAGAAGCAAACCAAGTTAAATTAATGCTCCTCGCTAGAACGAGGAAACAGACCTTAGTTGAGTGAATCCATACCAACTGCCAGTTTTCTATCCTAAACGAATTAAGTGTATAATTTTTTAAAGTTTCGAGCATCAGCACAAGAGGAAAAATTTATTTTTGTAACCCCTTGGAGAGGAATTGTGATCTGCACAACCTATGCATTCTGTTACTAGCACAGCCTATTTGCTTAATGAAAGGACACAACACTTTCCACCATTAAGCACTCGATAGGTAGTACCTGTACACAACCATTATGTCAGTGGACAAGACTGTGTCCCTATAAGTACTTTTTGTTTTTCAGCTTACACAATTGATTGATATGTAGGGTTCAACATCCCAAAACCACCATATGATTATGAGAGACGCCGTAGTGGAGGGCTCCGGAAATTTTGACCACCTGGGGTTTTTTAACTGCACCCATATCTGAGCACACGGGCCTACAACATTTCCACCTCAATCAGAAATGCAGCCGCCGCAGCCGGGATTCGATCCCACGGCCTGCGGGTCAGCAGCCGAGTACCATAACCACTAGACCATTGCGGCGGGGAATTTTTTCCACTTACACAAATAGCTATGCCAGCAAGCTTGAAAAAACACAAACAAAAAAAACACACACCCCGTAAGAGGGCATCTGCTTCAAACTTAAGATAGCTCGTGTTGCAGCAACCCATTACTATTTCAGCTCTCTGTCTACATCTCAGTACACATAAAATTGTAAAGTTGAGGGTCTTGCATCACAGAAAGGCGAGTTTCTATTGATCAGCACTTTTGATATCAGACTCAAATGCACGTATGAAAATATACTGCATTGAGCAATCCATATGGAGGTTGCAAGCATCACGAGCACAATGTGGTTTTATAACTGTCAGCAGAAAATGTAGACATGTCCTACCTAGTGCGTCGGTGACCCTTTTTCTCGGCAACGAGGGAAAGCTTGAAGCCAGTCAGATCGACAAAAAGTGCGATCGCAGCCTCGTCCCACTTGTTGCCCTTGTTTGGGCACACATTTGCCAGAGACATGCGGAGGGCACAAGCTGGAAGGCTTGCAAGCTCAGGAGGCAATGGCCGCAGGGAGGCGCTATCCACAGTGCATCGGTTGCCATAGTCTAGATACAGGACCCTGAAACACTTCTGCATGAAGTGAAACTTTTGTGAGTGTAAGTCGTGCACATGATGCCTTTGAATGACACAAAAAATGACTAATGTTGACCTATCAGCCCATGTTACACAGGAAAATGCGAGTTTACATGCAGTTAAAGTTGAACTTCTTGCAGCCCATAATGCTAGCAACAATTATGCCACCTACTTAGTGCTTTCAATGTATGATCCAAGAACATGCAACTCATTTTTCCAGAATCCTTACTTCAGAAAATTTTAAACAGTACCCAAAATTAAATGTGACCTATTACAACAGACCCCCACACAAAATCACTTTTTAAATAAAGGATTTTATTTTTTTTAAAGAAGCGACATGACATTAATTTATACACCAGGAGCTATGGCACAAATGTCTTGTTGAGACAATTTCAAATGTTACAAGCATTCAAGGTTGTGCTTTTCAGCAGCAACGGTGGTCCAGCCAGTTTAGGATTTATACCTATTTTTAGAGCAGGAAAGTCACTTTTGGAGCAGATTTGAAACACAATAAACTGTGTTTTGGAGCCTGTTTAGTACAGACAAAACAGAATTTAGGATCCCTTGGAGAAAACATGCCTCAAACTTTGGCGAATATTGTTATTAGTGTCCATAATGCTGCTGCAGTGCAAGCAAGAAGACAAGGCCGATATCCAGAGTGCAGCCATTAGGCATGTTCTTAGCACAAACGAGTGTCAAATTCTGGCTTCACTGCAAATCACAAGATGTGTGTTGAAGTGAAGCATAAATGATGATAATATGTGGGGTTTAACGTCCCTAAACCACCACACGATTATGAGAGATGCCGTAGTAAAGGGCTCCGGAAATTTCAACCACCTGGGGTTCTTTATCGTGCACCCAAATCTGAGCACACGAGCCTACAGCATTTTCGCCTCCATCGAAAATGCAGCTGGTGCCGTCGTGATTAGATCCCACAACCTGCGAGACAGCAAATGAGTATCTTAGCCTCTAGACCACTGTGGCTGGGCAAGTGAAGTGTTAGTGACAAGGCAAGCATGACATATATGGTTTCTAAGAATGACAAGTGTCATAAGGTCAAAAATAAAAAAATAATCTTGACTAGGAAACCAATAGCCCAACAATTAAAAAAGAAGGCAATGAACACTCATTGCAAATGAGAATTTTGAAAATGCCTGCATGATAGCCCAATCAATAATTGCCACAACACAGTGTGAATGATGCTCCACCGTCCTTAACAATCGTTAGAGGCGCGAGTACAGAGTGAAATTTTCCTTTCACATTTAAGCACTTCTGGTGTAGCACTTCTTACTGCTTTCCCAAATATACAGCAAAAGTCTTCAAAAAAATAATACTGGTACAAAATGAAGTGGTTTGAAAGGGTGGGGTCAGTGATAACAGAAGCATAAAGAGGAGCCGTGCTCCACTTCATGAAGACAAGTTCACTGGTCGAAACATTAGCTTCAGCGACATCTTGTGTACACGAGTTTCTAACTATTTAACCAGTGGCATCAAGGTGCAACTGGTGGCTATTAGTCCCCTCACTACTTGCACTGTCCAAGTAAACCAAGATCTAATTTTTCTTATGCACAAAACGTAACTGTTGCTGCGATAGAGAAGTAATAGTTCGTGTCTTCGCAATTACACCTAAAAGAAGGAATGGCTGTGGCAGGTTAGTTACACCCCTAAAGGTGCTGCCTCGACTTCCTTATTTACTTCTTAGAATGTAGGATGCATGAGAGGACTTGTTCTTTATATGTGGCCGACTGCGTGGCTGTTTCTCTGTGTGCTGGCGTGCCGCCACGTTACATAGGTTTTGCAATCAAGACAATGATCGCTTGGATACGCCCGAGCAGCAGTTGCACAAGTGCCAGACGCACTCTACAAGGGCATTTAGCTTAGCTTTGAGATTCGCCTCGATATTTTGGAGTGACGCCCACTCGGGCGTGACGTAAGAGTGGGGACTGTTTTCTCAACTGCACTGCAACACTTTTGAGCAGCGGCCGCAGCGGCCACTTTTGAGCAGCGGCCGTAGGATTCGGACGTCTACTAAGAATCTGTTCTCTCCGCTACAGGCCGGTGCAGTCCAGGTGTCCCAGCCGAGCAGCTTTCTCCCGTGTGCAACCACGCTCGTGTCAACACGAGCCAACCTCCTGTGCCTCCCCTGTGCCTGACTGCGCCGGCGCTACGTGGCTACCAGAAGTGGCTCTCGGCGCCTGCGCTACGTGGCTATATGAAGATCGACATCGACTCGCTATCATCGTCTTGTACGACCTTGAGCGACGTGTCATTCGCACGTGGAGCGCTACGGCGCGTGGTCACCCCTGCGCCTGCGCTGGCCTCATCGGAGGTTATATAAGGAAGTCCCCAGTGCACCCGAACCACTTTTGAGCAGCGGCCGTAGGATTCGGACGTCTACTAAGAATCTGTTCTCTCCGCTACAGGCCGGTGCAGTCCAGGTGTCCCAGCCGAGCAGCTTTCTCCCGTGTGCAACCACGCTCGTGTCAACACGAGCCAACCTCCTGTGCCTCCCCTGTGCCTGACTGCGCCGGCGCTACGTGGCTACCAGAAGTGGCTCTCGGCGCCTGCGCTACGTGGCTACTGGAAGATCGACATCGACTCGCTATCATCGTCTTGTACGACCTTGAGCGACCTGTCATTCGCACGTGGAGCGCTACGGCGCGTGGTCACCCCTGCGCCTGCGCTGGCCTCATCGGAGGTTATATAAGGAAGTCCCCAGTGCACCCGAACCACTTTTGAGCAGCGGCCGTAGGATTCGGACGTCTACTAAGAATCTGTTCTCTCCGCTACAGGTTGGTTCTTGTACTATTACCCCCGCTCGTGTTGCATACTCACATACGGCTGCTGCTCATAAGTGTTGCCTTCTGGTTTTGCTTGCACACTATGCCTACTAACACCGAACTTGCTAAGAAAATCGAGCACCTTGAGTCCCTGCTTCATGCTAAACTGGACAATCTTGTTGATGATCTTGTGTCTATAAAATATCGAAAAAATTAGAAGATCAGGGACTAGGCAATCTTTCTGCACTTGCCGATAGTGTTCGTTTCATCAATGACCAATATGATTCAGTGCGCAAATCTGTAGATGAGCTGGTGCAGTCAAATAAAACACTGAGGGCAGAAAATGACGAGTTAACCAAAAAGATTGCAGATATGGAGCAATACAGTAGGCTCAATAACATTGAAATCAAAGGTGTTCCATGTACACAAGGCGAGGACTGTGCTGCGATTTTGAAAACCATTGGACAAGTGATTGAATGTCCTATTTCATCGACAGATATTGATGCAGTTCATCGCGTCGCCAGTAAAACAGCTGATAAGTGCATCATCGCGCGCTTTTGTTCACGCGAGAAGAAAAACGAGTTCCTTCGCAAAGCGCGTAAGGCGCGACTGCGTGCTTCCCAGTTAGGACTATCCGGAAGTAATGACAATCCAGTCTTTGTCAATGAACATCTTACCATTGCCAATAAAAAGCTGTTTAGTAAAGCGCTTGTTCTAAAAAAGGAAAGGAAATGGCGGTTCCTCTGGACAGAGAATTGTCATATCAAGGCCCGCAAGACAGAGGACAGCAGGGTATTTTGGATTAATACGGAATCTGATCTCAACTTATTCACGTGACGTTGACAAAGTCGGTTCGCTTTTCCCACCTCATAGCTTTCGTCGTGTATCATCATGTCATTGCTTCCTTTCGAGGAAACTAAATCCCTCCTTGCTAATTCTACTTGTTCATTGCTGCACATCAATGCGCGTAGTTTGCCAAAAAACTACGATAACATTATTGGATTCACTGACTTACTCTGTCATTCCTTTTCATTTTTATGTATTACGGAAACATGGCTAGGATCTTGTGATGGCAATCTGTACGGATTTCGTTCGTTTAACTCTGAATATTGTCACCGCGATTCGGGTCGCTACGGCGGATCGGCCATATTTATATCGCCCGAGATAAAGTACAAGCGCGGGACAGACCTATATTTGAATATTCCGAACTGTGAATCTGTATGGATCGAGGCTGCCCTCCCCTCCTCTGTTAATCTAAATAAAGTGATCATTGCATGCATTTACCGTTCTCCATCTTCATCTATTCCGCATTTTCTACATAATTTAGCTGCTGTACTCGACATTATCACCGCAGAAAATAAGCAAGTTGTTTTGGTTGGTGATATCAACATTAACCTAATGGATACAGATAACAGCACCACCATAGCATATAGTGATTGTTTTCTTGGCTTCGGGCTTGAATCCTTAATTTCATCCCCTACTCGATTTTCACCCACTGGAACAAGCACGCTCATTGACCACGTATTAAGCAATTTTTCGCCAACCCCTAGCGCAGGAGTCATTGACGTGTGCATCACTGATCATCATCCTGTCTTTGTAACTTTCGCCGTAAATCTACCTCGCCTTAACACGTGCCATTTCACGTCAACCTTCGATCAGGAAAACTTTATCAAGGCAATTAAAGGCTCTGAGTGGTCTTCCATTAGCACCTTAGAAAATCCTGAAGAAGCACTAGGCAACTTCTGCTCCCTATTTCTTAAAGCTGTGCATGCAAACACTAAAACTGTTAAATGCAAGAAAGTATATAGGTTTCAACGTAATCCCTGGCTAACTCAAGGCTGGTTAACTAGTATGCGGAAAAAAGATAATCTCTACAGGAAAACAAAAAAACAGCCATTCAATGTGAATTTGAGACTTAGGTATAAAAATTATAGTAAGATGTTGAATAAACTGCTGAAAAAATCAAAACGACTTTATTACGAAAAAGAATTCTGTAAAGCAAGAAATGACCCAAAGAAAAAATGGAAACTTTTCAATGACTTCTTAAACAGACCTCAGGTTAGTAATGTCATTGATAAAATTAGGTATAAACAGCAAATCTGTACTGAGTCCTCTGACATAGCTGAGTCTTTTAGTGATTACTTTTATGAAGTATACAATGATAGGCCCAAAGTATCCTCGTACACCCTTACCCGCTGTATCCATTCATTCTTTCTA